GCGACTTATTTGGTCTTGGACTGGAGGAATGAGATCATTGATTACCTCGAGCACGGAAAGTTTCCTAAAGATCCCAAGGCATCCCAGGCGTTGCGCGCTAAAGCAACACGATATAGTTTCAAAGAAGGTCAATTGTACAGGAAATTTTTCCAAGGCACGCTGGCCTAATGTTTGGGAGCCTCCGTAGCTAATTATGTTATGGGAGAAGTCCACGAAGGGATCTATGGAAATCATTCGAGTGCAGATTCCTTAGTACTAAAAGCGGTAAGGGCGGGATACTATTAGCCCCGAATGGAACAAGACGGCAAAGGGTTTGTTCAAAAATGCGATAAGTGTCAACGCTACGCACCATTGGTACATCAACCAGCAGAACCATTGCATTCGGTTTTGTCTCCATGGCCATTCATGAAGTGGGAAATGGATATCATCGGACCACTGCTGTCGGCCCCTGGTAAGGTAAGGTTTCTTATGATTTTAACTGACTATTTTTCTAAGTGGGTGGGTTGAAGCAGGTCCTTATCAGAAGATCAGTGAACGTGAAGTAGTGGATTTCTTATGGGAGAACATAAATTGCAATCTTGGGATACCAAAAGAGATAGCATGCGACAACGGGCCACAATTTGTAGGCGCAAAGGTCACAAAGTTACTTGAAGACTTGAAAATCAAAAGGATCACATCTTCGCCATACCATCCGAGCGCAAATGGTCAAGCGGAATCAAGGAACAAAGTGATTACACAAAATCTCAAAAAGAGATTGGAAGAAGCTAAAGGCAAATGGCCTGAGGAACTGCCAGGTGTATTATGGGCGTACCGATCAACGGCCAAATTGAGCATAAGAGAGACTCATTTATCCCTTGTATATGGAGCAGAAGCCCTGATCCCGGTGGAAGTAGGGAAGCCTAACTTGAGATACTTCCTGGCAAATAAAGAAATAAATAATGAAACAATGTTGGTCATTTTGGAGATGCTTGATGAACGCATGGACTAGGTGTATATAAAGATGGCAACTCAAAAGCAGAGAATATAAAGATATTACAATCGAAGAGACAACCTCCGTTATTTCAAAGTAGGAGACTTGGTTTTAAGGAAAGTGACTTAAAACACCCGGGAACTCAATGCAAGGAAGCTAGGTCCATCATAGGAAGGCCTCTATCGGGTTTCAGTTGTCACCGAGTAAGGATCATACGAGTTGGACAATCAAGACGGAGAAAAGTTATCAAGTAACTAGAACGTGGCACACCTCAAGAGATACTATTGCTGGTGAACATCACCTGTACTGAAAGTATGTGCTGCACTCTTTTTCCATTCGTCCAGTTTTTGTCCCAATTGGGTTTTCTGGCAAGGTTTTTAACGAGGTACCAACGGAAAGCATACTATGAAGGAAGTTTCAACAGCAACAATAAGACCTTTTAGTGACAAGGCACACACGCGAAGAACCACTCCGGAGCGGTTAGATAGTCTTTTGTTCGATAGCAACTAAAGATTATCTAGTTTATCTAGCAATTCACTAGTAGAATCCCCGAAAGTATAAAACTTCAGGTGTTCAAATGCGCATTCTTCGCATTCAAACATTGGGGAAAATGATATGAGGATACGGCAACAACGACTGCCACTTCGACCAAAATACAAAACTCGGAAGCATAGTTGTATCATCGAGACCCGGGACTGTGTGGCCAGCCCCGTAGAAATAATTTGTACAAGTTAGCCACAAGAAATATCAATTTCTTTTTAGAACAACGAATGCTTATGTACTTTTGAAAATGGAAGGAATAAAATAAAGTCCTTTTATTTCTATCTTGTTTCCTGTCTGAACGATGAATTGATTTTGTCATTCTAAAGTTAAACAAGCACTTCAAATGCTAGTGCCGTAATGAACAAGAGACGTCCTCTTCAAGAGCACCGTAAACATAAGAGGGCCCTCCCTTATAGAAACCCTAACGATAAAGGGTTGATTTCGGAAGAACATGTGCCCGAAATCCAAATGCTTTCGGGGTAAAATACACTCAAAGCCTTGCATGATCAGACGCAAACAGTAAAACTTGCACAAAACACTTAAATGAAAAAGGACACAAAGATCAAACTTGCATAAATATTTAAACGAAATTACGCAGAAAGGAAAACTTATACAATACTTGAGCAAAAAAGTGTTTTTATTTACAATGAATGTGCCCAAAGACACAAGTACAAAAGTTGGAAAAAGAAATCAAAAACTAAGATGCTACATCTCCGGAACCCGGAGGAAGAGAAGCATTCGCGCCCTCAGGAGAAGTGGGTAGATACGACGCCGGCTCGATGTCATGGCCTTCATCATTTTGACCTTCAACATCATCGCCTTCCAATTCCTCTTCATTTCCCGAGAATTCGAAACTGGAACTAGAAGAATCGGTAGCATCAGGCTTGGCCAGAAGACCCCCTTTAGCAGTTGACTCCAGCCCACGGGCTTTAGTGATTTTGGCATCAAAGTCAATGACACCCGCTTTAGCCTCTTCCAAGGTTTTTCTCCTCATGATGTACGTATCATATATTTTTTCAACAATGAGGGAACCCGCTCGGCGCTTGAGTTCTTCTTTAAGTTGGTCAACCTCGGCAGAAAGAATTTCCCCCACGGATCTAACAGACCGGAGGCTGACACCGAGATCATGGACAGTAGAGCTGAAAAGTCTATTATGCTCAATGGTCTTCTTATACTTTCCCTCCAATTGGGCATACTTCACCCCCGCGTCAGCGAGCTCTTCAGTTTTGGAGTTCAAGACTGCCTCCAAATTATTTAATCTTTCAGTAGAGGCAGCTTCGCGATCGGATGCAGCAAGAACGACAATATGGACTTCAGCCCATTTGGCCCTAGCCTCGTCTAATTAAACCCTCAATGGGGCGATCTCTTGGATAAGTGTATCTACTTCTTGCTCGGTTTGCTGCAACCGAGCCTCCAACATAACAGCCTCAGCAACTTTAGCTTCCAGTTCAGTAGTTTGGTCCCGCTTGGCCAAAAGTTGATCCCGCTCGGAGGTAAGTTCCTCCTTATCTCGAATCAACCTTTGGAGGCCCTAGAAAGCAAGAAAATTGCCATGGGAAACAAAAAGTGCAAACACAAAATACTACTATATCAAAGATAGAAGAGATAATGAAGGAAACGAAGAATATACCGCTGCCGCATTGTATATAGCATTGTTCAACAAACACTCTCCCGAGAGATCTTGTATCTTTTCCCTATATTTTTCTAAAGCCAAAAGGCTTCAGATAGTTAGCAAGTTCCATCATTAATTTTGGGTAGACCTGAATTCAACAGGAGAGAAGGGTCAAACAACTTCCTTATATGAAAAGGTAAGAAAAAGATGAGTTCGACTTATCATGATTTTTGGCCTTTCACCCGTATTTAAGGGACAATTCTTTCCACGTGCGGGTTTTGGACGTAGTAACATCCAAAACGTTTGGACCCATTGGTCCAAGCCTTTAACCCTAGGTGGTACCTACCGAGTCTCTGAAATAAGTAAAAGACGAATGGTCAATAATGATATGGAATGATCTTTAACGGAAGAAAAAACAAGTGAAAGACTTACGAGTGCGGTTCTATAATTCCATAAAGGCTGGAGTCGTGGTCGGGATGATGTCACTGGTGGCGATTGAAATGAACCATTCCATCCACCACGGTAGTTTTCATCATCCATACTGGATAGCAGAGCATGATGGCCATGCTTGCTGAAATTTATCATTCCCACGTGGAAGATCTTGGGGGAATAGAGGTTCATCACTCGAGCTAGGGTTACCTCTTCTCCCGTCTCCTGGCACAAGCGCTGAAGACAAGTGATTGTCCTCCACACGGAAGGACTTACTTATGCCAAATACACTTGGTAGCAGAGGCAGAACTCCATGATGACGACATCAAGCTCTCCACTCAAAGAGAACGCTCCCAAAGTGAAAGGATACATGTAAAAATACCTAAAAAATCTTCTTGGGTGAGGTTATATGCTCCGTCAGGTTGGGAGCGATAATGTCCAAATCTTGACAGTGGCAGTATTCCTTCATAGTAGGGATACTGGAAGGACAGATTAAAGAAGGGTATACGCTAACAACCCACGTACGAGGGTGAGCAGAAGGATACTTCTCTTCAAAATCTTTGGTAGTGACTAGACTCTTTGGGATGATGGTGCTCATCATAGGAGGAGCAGCATCATCAGCTTTATCTTTGTTCTTTGAAGCTCTAGGGTTTCTGGAAGAAGAGGCCATTTTTTATCAAAAGGAAGGTTTTCTCTCAAAGAAGAAAGTTAAAGAAAGGTTAAAGACGAAGTATGAGTTGAGGAAAGAAAGTTTGAGAACCTTTAGAGTGTTATGAAGTGTAAATGAAGGAGGTTGATGCGTATAAGTAAAGGTATAGGCGGCTAAAATCGTGGCCATAATTACCTCGATAACCGACAAAAGTGATGTTAAATTGTGGGACACTACTAGAAACATAGACTTTTTCCACGGAAGAATCGGTGGGAAATCTGTGTGAACTTTCAATATTCCCATGACATTCCCAGGAGAGACGCTCAGTGAAAAAATGGCTGGTAGAAAAATAGTTTCCCAAGACATTCGTGGGTAATTCCCAGGGCGTTTCCCACTGAGGGTTTGACGAGAACATGGTAGGGTCACTAGTGTAATTTCCCACGAACGTCGTGGGAAAAGTAAGAAAATATAATTATTTAATTTTCTTAAGTTTCCCTCCGAATCCGTGGGAATTATTAAAAATAATTTAGATATTTTTTTTATTTTACCCATGAAAGCAGTGAAAAATATTCACAATCTGGAAATAGACATATGAACATTCCCACGAAATTCAGTGGGAAATGTTCAAATTGTGGAAAACAATATGCACAAAATTCTCACGGAGTCGGTGGGAAATCCGTGGAAAATCTGAAAAATATTTTCATGGCCAAATCTGCTTTTAGAACTACACCACCTGCCAAACAGAAAGTACAACCAACAATACAAAACTAAATACAATTACGCATTCAAATACCAAATTCAATATGCAATACAATTCATTTCATAAACAACAACTAATCAATCCATTTCATAATCAATATCCAACTAATCAGAAAGTAGAACAAAAACTCAAAAAAATCCAACATTCAATGTTCAACATCCAGGTACCATCCAAGACAAGCTAATAAAAGAAACTACTCCTTAGTTATCATCATATGGTGGAGAACGGGGCACAGAAAATGCACCAGATGCTAAGAGGGAGTTTATCTGAGACTTGAGACTTTTAGCATCACTAGTGACAAGTTTTAATGCATCGTCCTTTTGCCTCATTTTTTCCTCCCTTCGCTTTTCCTCTTCCTCTCTTCACCTATCTTCTTCCTCCCTTCGCTTTGCCTCTTCTTCCCTTGCAGCCCTTTCTTGAAGATACAACTCAGTAATCTTCGCTACCTTCCTATTCAATTCCTCAAACTCATCCAGATCAACCGAGCAATGTGAGAAAGAATAATAATTAAATAAAGACTCTAACAGACTTATCATGCATCAATATCATGGTTCTTAAAAAAAATATAAGTAATTAAAGGAATTGGTAAAGATGTAATTCTCACTCACAAAATTCTAACAGACCGCAATGTTTCTCAATAATTAACATAACATGTAAATGAATTAGAATATAATATCACATAGGAAACTTACTTCAGTTTCTTAATGGTCAAAGTATATATATTGGGTGTAAGCTTAACTGCCTCCTTTATCAATATCTCCTTGTAGAAAAGAAATGATAACCTAGCAAAACAAGTTTTACAAGGAAAATTAAATCCAACTTGGCTTCTCATCCAAATATCTGTACAATACAAAGGAAGCCTTAAACAAATATTATAGTATCCAAGGTCTCATATATAGATGCACTAGTGGGGCGTTGTCCGGGCTAAGCCCGGGCCCAATAGTTCTCTAAAAATATTGTTACAAGAAGCAACAATAAGCAAAATAAAGAAGCAATAACATTCCACAATAACCAAATTTGAGATAAGTCGAACTGTTACGCTTCAGCTTTTACTCTATAAGAATCTATTGTTAGGATTCTACATCTCGTTTGTAACATTGTATGAAAACTTTCATATTATGCCTGCATGGAAGAAACTACAATAATTATGGCTGATAACTCTATACTCAATTGGGCGAGACATCTGCATAAGTGCATAACATCATATATGATTTCTGCAATATCCCTGTTTCAAAATTTGTATCCTTGGCAAGGATTTTATTGAAAAAATTCTGCCTTTCATCAATACTATTAGTTACGTTAACTGCTGCCGAAATGTATAAAACTATAGAAGTTAAGGCTAAAATAGCTGACAAAATTAGAGATAGATTTAGCATGTACTCACTGACAAATAGACGGAACACCAAAAGGTAAAAAGAAGTATTCCACAAAAAAGAATAAATGGAACAAATTGTAAATCAATATGAATATGTGTCAGCTCCATCTACTTCATATCAACGCTGATGACTTCTCACCTATACTCCTCTCTTTTTATTCTACCATCTTGTATATATTAAACATGTAAAAATAGTTAAAAATTTGCTAAGCTAAATTTTTATACATGTCATGTGAAGGTAAAAGCAAGTTAACATAAAAGAAGTTTTTTTTTTTTTTTTTAAAAGAAGAAAAATAGATACCACACTAACAGTGACACACACGCACATTGTAAAAATCCAATCTTTTCAATCTAGATTCAACAAAAAATAGCTTCTCAAGTACCCAAATCTTCAAAACCTTCAAAACCCCCAAACCCTATTTATGTCATTTCAGATGCATATAATACTTCTGAAATCCAATGTCATTTTGTAAAATGAAAATTTCGAATGGACAGATATAGTCCAACCATAAGAAAATAAAAACCAAACTCAAACTTTAAAAAGAAGAAAAATCTAGAAGTTCAATAAAAATCAATTTCTTTCAATAAATTCATCGAACACCTAGTATACAGATAGGTTACATAAGGAGTTAACAAACCCAATTCTTGACCAATAATTTCTTGCATGCAGACGAATTGGAGTGAAGAACACTCAAGCTTCAGGTGACAGTGGCGGAACCCCAAATCGGAAAAAGGGGAAAGGAGAAAGAGAAAGAGAGATTGACTTACCGATGTTGTCCCTGAAGTCTCCAAGTTATAATTCCAACACCAATCTCACCGAAATTGCTGTTAGAGTTATCGAAGAATCCAACACTGAAGATGAAATAGATTTCGAATTTTTTTTCAATGATAATAATGAGACATTCAGTTGTGCACAGATTTTGAAAGAGAAAGCTGAACTGGATAAGGATGAAAACGGTGATGATGATTTTGAATTTGCTTTTGTTAATACAAAATTTGAAGTTTCACCTATTTCTGCTGATGAAATCTTCTACAAAGGTCACGTCCAATTTTCAACACAGTTGTGGGAAATGGGAGAATGGGAGAAGCGACCGACTTAATTAGAAGGTGGGAAATCCTTCTTCCCAAAAAATAAAAAATATATTAATATTTACTTTCCTAGAGAATGTGTGGGAATATTAAAAATATTCCATATACTTTCTTTAGTTTGACACTGTTTTCCCTAGGAAATTCTTTTTAATTTTATGTAATTAATTTTCAATTATTTTCCCACTGTCATAGGTGGGAAAAACATTTGGCAGTTTTAGGCGCTAAACAGTCCCCACTGAGAGTTTGTGAGAACTATTGGAATTTTGGTAAAATTTTCGTGTCCCCACTTTCCCACTGATTTTATCAAATTTTTGGTGGGAATTACCATTGATATATTTTCGTGGAAAATATCCGTGGAAAATTTGCATTATTCTAGTAGTAGGATGACACGTATTCAGGGCATTAAATGCGGAGAGACGTATGTCTAATCAACCGTTAGAAACTTTTCAGAGGGGGTCAGTGAATTTCCCGCCAAAAAAAGGTATTTCTACCAACTTTTCAATGACACAAAGTTATGCCACCAGAAAGCAGGGGAACTATCTGTATAGGGTAAAATATGTTTATATTAAATGATCGCATGAGAAAGTGACATGTGGAGCCGAAGACAGAAGATAGTTGAGTCCGAAGGCAACGATCCTGTCTGTTACCAGAGAGAATGATATCCATAAAGATAAAGTAAATATCTGCCACCTAGTAGCATTTAATGATGAATATTCTACAACATTAAGTACACGGCCCGTTACAAGGAATATGCCATTCACTGCCTGCCGTTACACACTCTTTAATGGCCCTCATAATTGACATTAAAGAGGGGCTAGATCCTAGGATCTTGTTCCCTAGGTGCAACTATAAATAGTGAGCTCTATTATCATTGTAAAGGACATGAATTTCGTGACAAACATACGCTACCTTCTATTCAAAGCTCAATATAATTTTATCTTCTTGTTTATTGATATCATTGCTATTGTCCCCGGAAGCCCTGCTCTCGAAATTATTATTTCTACTATTTTATCTCCATTTCAAGGCTAAGTATTATATTTTTGTCTAATTCATCTATTATTTTAGGATCAAATTAATTCACTTGTATATAAACCACGTATAAATTCAACTGTACCGTTTTACGGGTAAACAATCTTATGTGTGATTAATAAGATGGCTCCCGTTATCTTCTTGAATGTACCCCCTCCGTTCATTTTTATATGTTCACAATTGGCGTGCATATTTTACTTTAGTACTCATAATAATGATAGTATTTTGAGAAGTCTTGGAAAATAATTTATGAAATGAATAATTAATGATAAGGATAAAATAGAGAGAGGAAAAATACGGTCTTCTCTTGATTTGCATAATTTAATAAGTAATGTTAAATTATAATTTTAGTATAGTGAAAAAAGGAAAAGTGAACAGAGGTAAAAATCTTGACGAGATCATGTTTATTTATTTTACTATTAAAAAACATAAATGGTCGGCTGCCTGTCAAATTCCATTTGTTAGACTAAATAAATGTTTATCATTTACTGACCTTTCAATAATAGAACCATTACATACCTTACATACCTTAGATAAAAACTTGTCGAGCTTCTAGCTGTTATTTTTTACATATTCGGCTGCGTAAGATCTAAGAAAAAAGCCAGCACAGGTGAAATAGTTGTCCGTGACTGCTTATTGACTCACGGAATTAATACAGTTATACCTTTCTATAACAGTATTCCCATATAATATCTATTCATTATAAAAGTCAAATTTTTCTCAGAACTGATTTTTTAAGTTTGTATACGAATATAACCGGGCTCGCCCCTTGCTGTACTAATCGAGACTGGAATATGATAGATTAAGGTCCGACCTCGAGTCATATCGAACCAAGGTGTGAAGTTATATCGCCAAGCTCGAGACCTCAGGACCGAACAAAATCGAGATCAGGCGAGATCGAGGGAAACTTGCTGAGTCGGATAATAGAAAGACGAAATATCCGCGATCAAGCGTAGATCACGGCGAAGATCTCGACATGTATTAAGGATAGGCCAATTAATTAGCCAATCATGAGATTTCTTACTTCATTTAGAACTGTATCAAGAGTAGGACTCCCCTACTATATAAAGGGGGTCTGACCACTTGTAAAGCGGCATCACATTTACGCAACATGAAGCAATATACTATTTTTTTTTGGCTTTCATTATCTTGTTACTCTGTTCTTATATCAGTAGAAACTTCTCTTGGTTCAATGGTTATCTAACTCGATGGCCAAGGCTATTCGATTCGTCCGGTTTGAATTTATTTTTTTATCAACAAATTCAATATTAATATATTCTCTTAATTTGTGTCTAAGTTATATCACGTATCCTTAAAACCGCATATAAATTCAATTGTTATCCGTTTTTAGGATAAACAGTTTGGCGCTCACCGTGGGGCTAAGGATAATAGTGGTTATTTGATACAAATTCCCATAACATACACTATTTTTCACTTGTTCTTTGAAGTGTCTTTGATTCCAGGCTAAAATACAAAAATGTCAAACTCTCGATCAACACCTCTGCATGTTGACAACGAGTCGGGTCACCAAGGTGAAAATAACAATATACCGTACGGTAACGAGATACCGCCTGCTGATCCCGCTAGAATTCTGATCGCAGATCCGATCGACGCTAATTCGCATGTGGCTATCGATGCAAATTTGCCTACCGACCCCGAAAATAGCGTTCGTGGTGGAGCCCGATCGGCAACTCAAAACACACAAAATGTTGAAAGAGACGGGATCAACCTACGAATGATCTTCGAAATGTTGCATGCTCAACAGGCGGCGATAGCTCAGCTACAGAACCAAAGCCGTGCACCAAGCAGGGCTGAACCCGATCCTTCCCTGGAAGTCACCCGTAGGGATGAATCGGTCGTAGAAAAGTCAAACGAACATGAGTCGGGGGCTTGCTCCGAAGTTATAAAGATGCTTGAGGAGCTGATAAAACGGATAGAATCAGGGGAGAAGAAGATCGAGGCTAACGACAAAAAGGTGGAAACTTACAATTCCAGGGTAGACTAATCCCAGGAGCAGCTCCGATATTGAAGGGCCTGGATTTTAGGAAGTTCATACAAAAACCCTTTTCTCCGAGTGCGGCTCCGAAGTCGATCCCCAAAAAATTTCGCATGCCTGATATTCCTAAGTACAATGGGACGACTGACCCAAACGAGCATGTCACCTCATACACATGTGCAATTAAAGGGAATGACCTAGAGGACGATGAGATCGAATCTGTATTACTAAAGAAATTCGGGGAGACCCTGTCAAAGGGAACTATGATATGGTACCACAACTTACCACCTAACTCTATTGATTCTTTTGCTACGCTTGCAGATTCTTTTGTAATGGAACACGCCGGAGCCATCAAAGTCGAGACTAGGAAGTTGGACCTTTTCAAGGTAAGACAGAAAGATAACGAGATGCTCAGAGAGTGTGTGTCTCGATTCCAAATGTAACGAATGGACCTCCCACCGGTAGCCGATGATTGGGACGTTCAAAATTTCACTCAAGGACTCAATGCATGAAGCTCAGTGGTTTCACAACAGTTGAAGCAGAACTTGATAGAATACCCGGCTTCCCAAGAGTCGAAGACGACCAGTTGGGGGCTCCTTCTGGGTCCGTTTATCCTATCAGACCCGCCGACGGAGTTAAGAGGGATATCGACCGAGAACCGAGGTTGAACAGAGAACGATATCAACCATATAATGGAGATCGCAGGAGCGGCAGACCTGGGCGGAATAATGTACAAAATGAAAGAAGAAATGATCGAAGTCAGAGCTCTCGAGGACTTATGAGTAAGAACGGCTTTGACGAGCCCATCAGACCCAAAGAGGCACCTCGGTTATCAGAGTACAACTTAAGTGTTGACGCAGCTGCCATCGTATCAGCTATCGCACGTATCAAGAATACCAGATGACCTCGACCTCTACAAACTGATCCAACACAAAGGGATCCCAACCAAATATGCAAATATCATGGAACACATGGCCACAGAACGGAGGATTGTCGGCAATTGAGAGAAGAAGTAGTCCAGTTATTCAACAACGGGCATCTTCGAGAATTTCAAAGCGACCGAGCTAAGAATCATTTCAGAAACAGGGATTCCAATAAACAGAATGAACAAGACGAGCCCCAACACGTCATTCATATGATCATCGGAGGGGTCGATGTTCCTCAAGGTCTGATGATAAAACGCACCAAAGTATCAATCACAAGTGAAAAACGGACTCCAGATTACATACCAGAAGGAAATTTATCTTTCAACGACAAGGACATAGAAGGGATCATGCAGCCCCATAATGATGCACTAGTAATTTCTGTACTCATGAATAAAACTCGAGTTAAATGTGTGTTGATTGATCCGGGTAGTTCGGCCAACATCATTCGATCGAGGGTCGTAGAACAACTCGTCTTACAGGACCAAATCGTGCCTACGGCCCTAGTGCTAAACGGATTCAACATGGCTTGCGAAACTACTAAGGGAGAAATAACGTTGCCGGTAAACGTAGCCGGTACCACACAAGAGACCAAGTTTTATGTGATCGAAGGGGACAAGAGGTACAATGCCCTGTTCGGGAGGCCATGGATCCACAGCATGAGGGTTGTGCCCTCGACCCTTCACCATGTATTAAATTTCTGACACCAAAAGGGATAAAGACGGTTTACGGGGAGCAACCCGCCGCAAAGGAGATGTTTTTCGTCGATGAAGTAATTCCGATATCAACACTCTCATCGACAAAGAACTCAGGTTTGAAAGTGAAATAGGAAGCCAAATAGTAATCATCGATTCCAGCCTCGAACCAATCAGACAAGCAAGGGATTGACGAAGACGATGATTACGGGGTTCCTCGATCCTTTATAGCTCCCGATGATTCCGATGCTACTAAATCGACAGTCGAAGAGCTGGAGCAAGTCATACTGATCGAACATCTGCCCAACCGAAATGTATACCTAGGCACGGGATTAACTCCCGAGCTTAGGAAAAGACTCATTCAATTTCTTATTGCTAATA